CGTGTCTGCGGAGAGGAAACAGGGTGTTCCTGGGGTGTGTGGCAGATCACGTCCTGACACAGCTGGTGAGGGAGCCAGCTAGGGAAGGCTCCTGCTCAACCTGTTGTTTGTGCACAAAGAAGGGCTGGTGGGGGATGGGACGGTTGGAGGCCGACTTGGGTGTAGCGATCATGGTGAAGTAGCCACAATTCCTATGAGACTGTTCTCAGGCATCTCCATGGATTCTGACACATCAACAGCCCTTGCTGATGCACCATGGCATGGTGACAGCACTCCCTAAGGGCTTCTTTTTGGGGGGGAGGGAGTAGTTTAGCCACCATGGCTCCTGGACCTGACCAGGTCTCGTCAGCCACAGTGGTGCAATTTGCAGCTCCTTTGGCTTCCCCCCTGAGGTTCCCCCAGTTCAGGGGAAACCAGGATGATGCCTAAGCACAAGAATGAGAGCAACTCTCAAAAGGCTTTGCAAAATTCAAAGAGCAACAATAAATACTCCTATTAACGGGAATAAAAATTATTAATTGTATTAACTAATAATTAACTAATTTTGATCTCTTACTCCTCTCCTGACTCTGATCCTGCTTCTTCTTCTTGAGACTAAACAGATTAGACTGCTAGTGAGACACTTAAGGATGGAAAATTAGCTGCAAAATTGTCCTTGTCCCTGGGAGCTTCCTAAGGCCAGGCTCACAGCTACCATTACCATGAGCTGAAAAGCAACTCCCGAGCTTGGGATTTGCATTCTCAGGAGATGCACACAGTGATGCTGTTACCTGAGGGAGTGGAAATTAAAGCTCAATTAAAGAGGACAATTTTTATCTATCTGAAGAAACACCCTTTTTTAGCACTGTTTTTCAGGGAGACAGAGGCTCTTAGTCAACAAGGGCCAGAGGTTTCCTCTCCGGCTCATGCAAGAACATTTCCATGCAGTTGTCTGAAAAACGCAGGGTTACAGAGCGTACCTGCTATGGGGCAGGGTGGCTCACACACGCTTCTGATGGTTTAAAAAGAAATTACTACTTTAAAATGATGCCTCAGGTTTGATGCAAGCATCAAGAACAGAGAGTGAGAGACGGAGATTCACACCTTCTTTTACTGACTTGTACAGTGTTATTTACAAATTCTCAATCCACTAGGACGATCCCACGCTTCCAGGATGCCAGCTGATGTTTGCAGGGCTGCCAGATAGCGGGGGAAAAAAAGGAAGTATACACTCCTGCGTGTCATGATGCTGTCTTTTACAGAGTCACGGCTTTAGAAATGAGGTGACAACACACTGGCTTCAGTTTTGGCTACTCTATTTCACAGCAACAATAAAAGGAAGGAGAAGAATCCCAGAGAGAGGCAGAAAAAACAACCAGAGACAAAGAAATGTCTGGAAAAAGACAGGTTGAACAAATGGGGATTCCTTTGTCTATACTGGAGAAAAATAACACAGGAAGTGATAAAAAAACCCCATATAAAATGATGAACGGCAAATGGAAAAGTAAAGCAGAGACCTCTGTAAATACATTTGTATAGAGATTATACTGCTGAGTGTGGATTACAGGTATGCCTCTGTCTCAGTTTATAGAAGAGAGAAATGGCTGCGGTCAAAAGTGAAGCAGATGCTGGCCTCCAGCAGACTGCAGCAGTCCATGCCTCCGGTGCCAGAGATGTCAGGAGAAACACCAGCATGTCAGCCAAGGCAGTGGTCATCCAAAGTCCATTCGCTGAACCCTTTTTGACAACTCTGGGGTTCTTCACTTTTCCTCCAACACTTTTGGCACTGCCCAATGTCAGTGACATCCTTGATGAAATGGGCCAACCTGCAGCAACAGCTCCGCGTGTTCTGCATTAGTGTTAACGATTAGTCTCAAATATTATTTCTGTAACTTCTCCCAAATTCTGTCAAGCACCCTCGGGTTTCTGTGCTCAAAGTTTGAGGCAAGCACAGGTTTGCACAGACCGTTTCAATATCCAGCTTTCAAAGCTGCAGTTCCACAACAAGATGATCTCCACCCAGCCAATATGTCAACAAGAGGCCCCTCTGCTTTGTCACTTACAGCCAAAGCCACCTCCAGAATCAACCAAACCAAAGTCACAAACCCAAACGTGCATTTGTACATGACAGCAAAAGCATGCCGAGTCTCACAGGCATAAGCAGGACCAGCCAGTGAGCACCCACGCTCTGCTCTGTCTTCCCAGCTTCTGCAAAACCAAGCAATTGCAGGGTGCCAGGCAAATTCAGAAAACAAGGCAATGAATCAAACTAGAGGGAAGAGTAAGGAAGTGTGGCTGAGGGTCCAACTCATTAAAATATGCATTAAGCTAAGTTAGCTTTGTAACTAAGGTGAGGGAAACCAAACTGCATTTTCCTTCCTCATATTAGAGCCTACCCATGGTGCCGAACATACTGCTGGCTTCCTTCTGCCTCAGGCCCTGAAGTCCAGCGATGGCCACTCTTCTGCCAGCCACTCTTGACACAAACACCCATAGTTCTTTTTACTTCCCAACCTTGGTTCATGTATCATAGAATCACAGAATGGTTTGGGTTGGAAGGGACCTTAAAGACCATCTAGTTCCAACCCCCCTGGAATGGGGCAGGGACACAGGTTTTTTTCCCACATGGCATGGTACTAAGCATTGGAAACAAACTTTCTCCCAAGGAGAGGTCTTTTAATCTTAGGAGACGACTTGGCCGGTAGCTTCAAGTGACTGACGACTCCGGCAGCACGAGTTTCTTCAGCCTTCAAGCCGAGACACCCAAAAGGGAGTTGCTTTTCTGTTGGCGGAGAACGGTGCCTTCCCAGCGGGGCCCACCTGGAGGGCTAATCGCTTTTGGAAGTGCACACCTCCTTCACCCAAGGTGATTATTCTGAAGGGAAATTGCTGTTAAGAACTCATTAATGAAACAGGAAGCCATTATTTCTTACGGAGTGTACCGTGTCCTTTAGGAACAGCACGGGGCTGGGAAACAAGACTCGGGCTGGCTCCTTCCTCTCAGATAAGAGAGTGAAAACTCTAGCGAGCAACACAGCCTTTGTCTCGCTCTGCTGAGCACCCGTATCGCTGGTGCGACAGACAGCACGAACTGCTGAATTCCTTAAGTGACCCCGGACGGGAATGACTCGTGGATCAACAGCAGTCCTACCCCTGAGCCTCCTGGCAGCCAGGTGTCCAGCAGGGCTGTTGAAAGCACGTCGTCCTGTCGTGTGGGGTGCAGCAAGGTGGTGGAGGTGCACTGACCTCCCTGCCGCCTCAGAAGCGTGATTACTGTCACCAGACTAGATGCAATATATAGCCTTCGTCTTGGCTTTTGATGCACAAAGCACCCTCAAGACATCCTTAGATAAGACATTCTTCCTAGCTCATGCCAGTTAACAAGCAATAAACATAAACCAATCCAGGATTTAACTGGGAATACTGACTCAGTGTTTAGCAAGAGGACTACTGGAATGACCCAGCTAAGGCCTCTGCTTCCAGACACGTGCCCAAAACAGCGGACGCCGAGGGAACACTGAGGACTTGAGAGCCTGCTGCAAGCTGACTTCACGTACCCACGGACTCCTGCTCCAAAGCACACGCAGTGCCTGGGGGGGCTGGCAGGGGAGTAGCGATGAGACCACCAAGTGAAAGAGCTCTGACCCACCTACGGGCTGGGGAAACCCAGGGATTTTGTTCATTTCTTAATTTTCCTTTATTCTGCTTTGACGCCGAAGCCACGTGAGCATCCAGTCTCGAGCAGGCTCGCTTGGGAAGCGCTGCTGCCTTAAAAACAGCGGAAGGATACTAAAGGACTTTTGAAGCTTTTCCTATTTCTTTTCTTTCCCACTAAGAACTGTTTTTCCAGATCAGGCAGAGGCATCTTTTAATTTTTAAGAAAGATTATTGGGAACGTGGATTTAAGTAAGGAGAGCCAATCTAGAATTGCGTGAAGACACCCCAGAGTACTATCTAATTGCAAAAACTAAGAATGGAGGAGCCATCTAAATCCATCCGGCTGCCAACGCGGAATAGCTCCCTACAGGATATTTACAAGTTTTTAATGCCTTGGCCTTGTGCCTCACGTGCACCAGAGACATACTTTCAGGCCAATAAAACATCCCTTGTCATGGCTTAACGCCCTAAGAATTAATTTATCACTAATTATTTCCTCTCTTAAAGCCCCGCTCTTTGGATAGCTGTGACATAATTCTTCAGAATCACACGAGTTAAAGAGCAGAAGTATACCGTCCCCTCCAGCTCCCTGCCCACAAAGGCAAGCTACCCTTTAACCAGTTTAATTTCAGCTCTTGTGGTTGACGAGGGGCCGAAATCACTGATCACGGAGATGGTCTGGGGAATGGCTTGAGACCTTTTGCTGCTCCTACCTGGGGCACTCTCCAACCAAGGATCTGTAAGGGCTTTCCGTCATGGTGGTGCCGTCCAGGTTAGAAAAGGGTTTAATCTGGGCTTAATCACAGAGTCTGGATTCTGACAAAGTGAGGCCTGACAAAGTAAAGATGAAGTTTTGACTTAACTGAAGCCTAAGGAAATATGATTTCACTTTAAATAAGTCTCTCGCTGTCTATCTCGCGTACACACAATCCCAACATAAGTGATTTCATCTTTCATAGCTGAAGGTCAGCCATTTCAACACTGTATTTTTCCCACAGCAGGTCCTGGCAGATTCACAGAGTGGAAGGGTTTGGAAAGGACCTCTAGAGATCATCTAGTCCAACCCCCCTGCCAGAGCAGGATCACCTAGAGTGGATCACACAGGGACAAATCCAGGCAGCTTTTGAACATCTCCAGGGAAGGAGACTCCACCACCCCTCTGGGCAGCCTGTTCCTGTGCTCTGTCACCCTCCCAGTGAAGAAGGGTTTCCTCATGGTCAGGTTGAACCTTCTGTTTTCTGGTTTATGGCCATTGCCTCTAGTCCTGTCCCTGGACACCACTGAGAAGAGCCTGGCCCCATCCTCCTGACACCCACCCTTCAGATATTGGTAAGCATTGGTAAGATCCCCCCTCAGCCTCCACAATCAACATCCTAAATAAACCACAAAAGCAAGGCAATTTGAAGTTATTGGATGCTTTTATTTTAATGTAGCACCCAGCTCCATATCACATACATTTTCCAAAATTAGATGGGCGTAGTATAGAACACTATACATTTTGCAGCTTTCCACGTGGACATTCTGCAGCTGTGAAAACAAATTGCTTAAATCTGGCTATCTACTTTATAAGTTAAAACTGAAATATATAATAGCCTCAGGGTATTTTTCTTTTTAGATTAACAATGATAATGCTTGCAATACGTTTTTTTTTTAGTATCAAAAAATCAGTAACAGAGTAAAGCAGAATGCTTATGTTCATAGCACATTATCATGAAGATAACTTAAAAAAGCTTCAAAATACATCATCTCTTCTCAAAGGTACTACATCACTTGGATTTTTTTTTGGTTTTGGTCCTGAAAAAATATACTTTTACTCTTTACTCAATAAAATATGTGGCTTCATGAGGGCCTCTCTTCCTTCTTTGATAACCCTGTGTATTTGCTTGTTAAGGGCCATGTGTGCTGAAGGCCCAAGGGCTGATGGTGCTCGAAAACAGACAACATCATTCCCTGGCTAGCAACTTTTACAGGCTCTCTTTCTCCTGATCTGGGAGCTCATCTGGAAGGAGAGCAGCTTATACACCACCAAGAGGCAATTTTCGTATCATATGCACCCTAAATGCTTCCTGTTAAGGGTTCCAAAGTCCAAACCATCCCTCTGGGGTCATTTCACCGTCTAAGTTGTCACCACTCCATGCTGGTTAGCCCTGGCAGTGCCGAGCTGGGGCTGTCTGGATGACAGCCGAACAAGTTCCTCTTCCCAATCAGCAAAACTACTGCCACGCATGTAAAGACAGTTCGGAGATAATCTTTTGAGTTAAAAAGGATATTCACCAACTTACCAATAACAGGGCTGAACCCACTGATCACTGACATTTCTGCTACGTCACCACAAATCTCTGGAAAAGACAACTGAGAACTGTCTGGAGCGAGGTGGTAATGCTTCCACTGCATCCTAGTATAAAATCAATAACTAGGAGAAGGACACTGATCATCGAGGATTAATGTTTGTTCACAGGCAGTTTACTTAAAGGAATACCTCTGAAATGGAAGCTGTTTGCCTTGTTTAATCACCAGGCTCAAACAAAAATGGCATAATCTACAAAGGCAACCAGTCACTACACTTAGCTGGGCATTTTTCTTTTTTCACCACTGAACTACCAGGTATTGAAACAAATATGTCATGAAAAGGTAGCAGGCAATTAGAACATTAACAGATCCATAAAGTAACGCATGATCGAAAGTAATACAATGGAAGAACATCCTTACACACCCACAGAACAACATCCTTATCTGCTCTGCCTAGCCTTGTCCTGCAGACAGAAATATTTAATTGACCAAACCACAGCAGTGGCAGGAAAATGAAGCCTTAGACAGGAGCACCAAGCTCATGGTCAGTGCATCCTCCCGGATGCTCAGAAGCCGTGCTCCAGCTCCTGTTCCCAGTTATCGTCCCTTGCTGGGCATGTTCTGCATAAATACTTAGAGACACCATGAACTGAGGAGAGCGAGACCTCACACGTGGGAAGCTGCTCTCGCTCCTTGGTCAGGTGTAAGCTGGGACAGGTAGATCCTAGTTGTTGTTCTGGGTCAGGCACGTCAGGCTTAAGGCTGATTGCTCTCCTGTAGCTCAAGAAAGTGCCCTGAACATCGAGCAATCTGCCTGTGAGGTCTCCCTGTCTGACCAGATGGTCTGTACTGGGTCTAGGAGAGCATCTCCCATCCAAAGTTTCATAAAGTAAAAGTTTCTGCAAGAAATTACGATTTTGGTGTACCCATGTTTTACCAAAGGAAAAATATTTTTTGATAAAATCTCATACTCTATTTAGGTGTGAATTTTTACTAGCCAGGGTCTGATAATAGTAGCCATGAGCATGGCTGCATGGAGCAACTGCCAGAAGCATGGTTTATAGCTTCAGGATGCCTTCTCCTCTCCCCCTCAAAATGCTAACAGCCTCCCACAACCAGACACTCTTTTTCATTTTGCATGGGCTGTCAAGAATGCATAAGTACTGAGGCATACAGAAGAATAGCTTCCTACATCTCGTGTGTAACGCACCAACATTTCGCCTTACTCTATGTGAAGCAGTGTATCATCATCACAGCTGACATCTCACCAAATGGAATAAAAATCAACTCATCCTCTAGGCCTTGAAGCTGAGTGGGGCCATTTGATTGCAACCCTAAAAATGCAAGGATAGTTAATTTTTTAATAAATTAAGTCCAGTGGTAGAGTACCAACTGAATAAATATTTCTGTTGGCTAACCAAGTACCCTACTTCCTAGCAAATGAAAAAAAACCC